AAACATGCTCTGCTATTCCTGATTTGCTGGTTTTTCCTCGCTGTGTATGTTTCTCATGCTCGGCAATGCGAACTTTCAATGGCCTCTTAGTTTCACCGATATAGGATTTTCCGCACTCACAGGGTATCCGGTAAATACAATTCTTGGAATCCGCGTCAGGTGGCCAAATTTTCGTTAGGTTGCTACGAATAGTGTTTTCGGATCTGAAGCAGGATGTAGGGAATTGTAGGCACTAGTTTTGATGGTTTCTCTTTTTTGCGAGGGTCTTGCTGGCTTTCAGCCAAAGTCTGTTCCACCATCGATTTGGAATAGCCATTTCGTTGAAGATCATTTTTGATGATGTCTAGTTCCTTCTCGAGACCTTCATTCGTTTTACAGAGCCCGGAAGCACGGTCTATTAGCACTGTCATCTTCACTGGGGGACATCTGATATTTCGTCATAAGACACCTATCGTCTCTTCAGCACTAAATATGGATAACAACATAAAATGAAACACTCAAGACATTCATGAAACTACGACTTCATGTTACGAATGAGTTTGATCAGCTCATGTCATCGATGACAGTACGTAATGACATTCAGTCGCTTATTTGATTAAATCCCAGCCATAGGAATCTTGTTCAAATTGAAAGGGGTATATTTCTAATGTATCGAAACTTAATCGTTGACGAGATATTTTAGTTTCTATTACATAAATAAGATGAATAGTCAATAGTCATGTCCGCCATTAAACTAGGGCTCTAAAATCTTCATTTCGAACAGTTTGAGGAAGTTTGCTGGAGCAGATAATTTGCCGACATGGTTTTCGTTGAATACATTATTTCCGTGGAATACATTATTGCAAATGATGAAATAATGAAATTGAAAAAATTACTTCAAATGTTCAATACAATTTCTCACAAAATACAATTTGATGAACAGATTTGATAAATGTCTGGAAGTCAACAGAAAATAAGTTGAAAGAGGTACCAGGTATCTACCTGAGAAGACTTTTTCTTCAACTTTGTGTCTGAAAGTTACTTTTCTGCATGAACTACACATCCTTATCTAGAGTGATCTTTTTTTGAATTGATTGATTCTTCCTTTCTTTCTTTGAAAGATTCCTATATTTTTTTTTGTCTGAAAATGGAAAGGGAGAAAGCCAAAACCTCTCTTCATAAAACATTCAGGACAAATATTTCCTTCAAATTGAAAAATGTGTTTATCAATTAATTGGTCTAAGAAACATTGTTAAACTATTCGAAATGAAGATTTCCTAGCCCATGTTGGACAGGTGCATTTGTTTTATTTTTTCAAGAAAGACTGAAATATCTCGTCAACGATTGACTATAGATGAAGGGAATATTACTGGAGAGTGAGTGAAAATCATCTCTATATTCCAAATCTGCCTTGGTGGTGAAATGAATGATCCATCAAACTTCCGGCCTATATCATTGCTTCCGACAGTCTCAAAAATAATTGAAAAATTTGTAGAAAAGAGAATGCTGAACTTCTTAAGTAATCAATCATAACTTACTATGCGAATCTCAATATGAATTCCAAAGCCATAAAAACACAGGCGATGCAATCTTATCTCGTCTGGATTGGTTTAAATAATAACGAATATATTGGGGCAATATTCCGCCCCAATGAGCATTCGACTGCGTGAATTATGAAACACTATTGTTTAAACTTCAGTACCATGGCTTCAGAGGATTCTCATATAACTGGATTTACAGTTATCTAACAATTAGGAAGCAACTAGTTAAACTTCAAGGAAATAAATCGCATATTGAGAATAATACAGCAGGTGTACCACAAGTTTCGGTTTTATTTCGGCTATTTTTTTTCTACTTCATATGAAGGATCTGGTAATCGTTGACATTGAAGTAAAGTTCACACTTTTTGCAGATGACACCACCATCCTTTGGCGTAAGACAAATGAAAATAATCTCAAAGACATCATAACTCTATAAGGTTAAACAGTGGTGCGATTCAGTGAATCACGCTATAGTTAACAGAACTCACACAGAGTTTTTAGGGGTATTTATAGATGTTAAATTAAAATTTGATAAGTATATAACGAGTATATATATGAGAGAGAGGACATTGTTGGATCAAGATCTTCAGATGATGTGGTGCTGCAGGTTTTTCCGGGTTTTCCTGCAGCTGAAAAAGCAAATGCGCCACTGGAATCAATGAAGTCGCCCCGGAGCGCCAATTGATTTTTTTTGTTGTATTTATTTTATTTTTATCGTTGTCTTAAAATTGTGTATGTTGTAAATCAATCTTGAGATATTGAGATCACCAATTAAATTACCCTGTATATATAACGAATATATTCAAAAATATAGCATCTAGCTGCTATGCAGTTCGAGTTGTTTCTAATGAACTCAATCAATCCTCAGCCAGAACTGTATATTTTTCCTTGAATAACCCTTAACGATTTTTTGCTCGTTTTGGTAAATCGAAAATTATTTTATTGCAAAAAGAGATATTACAGTATATAATTCTCATACAATACGTTCTACAAAAAAAGGGCTGTCAGATACATATGTAAGGCAAAATCACAATACCATTGCAAACCGCTTTCAATCAGTCAGAAAATTGTTACTGTCTCTTGTTTGATCTTTTTATAAATCGTGTGCCTAATACAAAAAAATACTCTAGCAGCAAATAATGACTGACGTTAACACACGAGAGGAAGTCGGAATTTACCCTTACCAATCCCAAAATCAGCGATTACAAAATTTTCTTTGATGTATGAGTGCAAGAAAATATACAACCACCTTCCAGGGTGTTATAAGGCTATAACAAATATAAAAAATTCAGAAATTGAGTTAAACGAGTACTTCAGCAAAAAGCCTACTGTGACTCAGAAGAATATTACAATGATGTACTTTAACTCTTAGTATTTCCGATGCTTACTTATCTGTAATAGTAATAATAATAATAAATCGACTTTATTCATCATAATATACAATAGAATACATAGCATTGACAGTAAGATACTATTTCAATAAATGGTGAATTGGCGGGGGTTCAGCCTGAGCTGTTTTTCAACCCTATACCGTGAGAAAGGAAGTGTCTTCAAGTGTATTCTGTATGATGTATTCATTTATTATCTGTAATGACTTATATATCGTTTCATTTATGTGTATTCGAATATGTACATTTTTAACCCATTATATCATAATTTTCAAATCATCTAAAGGATCAATTTGTTCAGGCCAGTCTAAACTCCCTTCACTGTAGGTTATTGGACCGACACCTATAAGAAAACAACTATTCCCGTGGCTAATACTACGGCTATTGGCGATACAACTGCCGCAAAACATTTTCAGTTATTGGATCACACCTGCAGACCGGTTTCGGGCTGTTTGGTCAGTGAAAAGTAGTGTCTATCATCAACATAAAGTCGATGATTTCCGATAATTGAAAATCGAATTCCTTCAGAGTATCATTCCTCAAACTACCGAAAAACCGGTCTGCAAGTGTGTTCCAATAATTGAAAATATTTTGCTACAGTTGTATCGTCAACAGTATATGCAGGAATAACTTCAGAAGAATCCTGTACTGACACCTGTCGGATATAATCCAAAGCCCTTCGCAGTATCATCCAGGAGACTAGTTGTTTTCTTATAGGTATCGATTCATTAAGCTATAGTGTAGGGAGTTGAGACTGGCCTGAACAACTTGTTCCTTTGGATAATTTGTAGCCAGTCTTCAAGTATGCCCACTGACTATATGTATCACAATTTTATTATTTTTCAATATTTTTTAAAAAACTTCAACACTATTGACTTCATAAAGCGGCAATAGTCTTGTGAACAAGGATTTCTTGAACAAAAAAGCATGATTGATTGATTGATTGAATGAGGCAAAACTTCGACGCTCAATTTGTTCAATTTTCAGACGGTTATTTGTGAAACGTGCGAACGAGCATTGTTTGGAGCAGGATCGGATCTCTTCTGTTGACCAGTGCCGGCTGCTAATGTCGCTTGTTTCCGGTACATTTCGTCAATTTCCTCAAAATAGGACTCTGCTGTGATAGTTTGGCCGATTGCAAAAAAGTTATAGTGAATAACAGCTGCCGTTTACCACCATACAGTAACCAGGGTCTTTTTTGAAGGGAGTTCTCACTTTTAGGAAGTACTTGGGTGGCATTGGTGTCCAACAACTGCCCTGAATATCTCCTGTTGTCGTATAGAGGATACCCTTTTCATCACCCATGACCGATCCGATAAAAAAAACGTTTTGGTTGCGCAAAAGCAAAGAAGAACAGACCTCAAAATGTGATATTCTCTATCGATTGTTCAAATCGTGAAGCACCCACTTCTCGAACTTTTTGACCCTTTCAGTATGTTTTAAACCAGGGGTCTCCAAACTACAGCCCGCGGGCCAATTTCGGCCCGCCAGTGTCATCAATCCGGCCCGCGACAGCCAATGATTTACTGTCATCAATCTGGCCCGCGACAGCCAATGATTTATTGTCCTCAATCTGGCCCGCGACAGCCAATGATTACCTAATTGTTGTTACTATTGCTGTGATAAGTTGAAGAAAAAAACACAGAATGACAATCACTCGGTTTTATTTACTTGCAAGGTAAAACTTAACGACAGAAATGATGACATAAAGTTCATGTTTGGTAAAAAAAATATCGAAATTAATTTATATCTTCTAAACGGTAATAGATAGGTATAGGGAAATAGTATATGAATTTGTTGACAAAGTGATAATTATTCATAATATGATATTATTTATGGGGTGTTCCATTTAAAAAATCAAAGAAGCCGCTACTTTATAGTAGAAGGGACAACGCCGCTTCGTCTGAAATATTTTAGGCGTGTAGGTCATATTGATTTATGCATACTGTGAAATTTTCAGGTTGATCCGTTAAATAGTTTGTCAGAAACGGCTAATTAACGCTCATCATGAAAAACCCTGTATAACTTATATTCCACGCAGAAACACTCTCATCCGAAAACTATGCCCTAATTTATTTTTTCATTTCCTCAGCGGCCTATTTCTACGCCAGCACCCACAAAGCGGCAGACAAAAACGGCTTCCGGTTGAGGGACGAGAACGGAAGTGGAGAAGTAATCAGGAGGTACCGAAAGGAAGGCGTCACTCTCACCCTCCCCGAAGGAAAAACTTTGAGCAACATCAAGATATTTTATGTATGGTGCGAGGATTTCGATGTAAGTGTTTTTGTTTCGAGCGAAGCTGATGTAAGGGGTAGATGGAAAAATTACTTTTTGCGCGGTAATGAACGACTCTCATGAAAATCGAGGTGGAAATTTGTTTTCGAGAGGCCTGATAGGATGAAAATTTCAGTAACAGAAGGATGGTAGTATACTAGATATTTCCAAACGCCATGAAATATTTTTTCGAAACCATTTGTCATCTGTAAATTCTGATATTAGACGATGTTTACAGTTTTCCTTCGCAATCATAGCCATTTAGAAAACAGAACAGACAAACAGAAAAGTGATACATAATTGATTTATTCATTTATTTATTTCACCCTAACAGGCCTGGTGGCCTCATTATAAAGATGACTTAAAATAAAAATATACATGAATATACAAGTACTTGAAATGATATGTTATATAAAACAATATAATATAATATGGGGATGAATTATTATCTAACGAGCAGTACTTATTACAACTCACAACAAGAAAAATAAAATAAGAAATAACAGAAAAACTAATTGCTAAACTGATTCTCAACCTGTCTACGGACTAAAGATCTAAATTTTGTGGTAGACATATTCCAATCAATATCTAGCAAGCAATTTATGTGGTTTGCCAGTCGGAGCATGATTCAGAGGTATCCTACCTGGATACCTCTGAAGTAACGGTCACGAAGGGAGTCTTGAACTAAAGGATAGTACGCGTAGGTCTGAGAGGTACATTAATTGGTAATAGTGACAAAAAGTCTGCGGAATTTATATTTTATATACACTAATTAGTGCAAAGATTTTTCGCCTAGAGTCTAAAGAGGGTATATCAAATTGAGTTCTCAATTGTTTATTATTTCAATATTTATTTCACTTGTTGAACAGTATGAAAGCATTACAATTATATGCAACTATATGTACCTTTGAAAGACTATTTAGGTATTGTATCAAGTCGTTCGCATAAATAAGAAAAAGCAGTGGTACGAGTATAGACCCCTGTGGAACTCCTTGCTTGCAGGCCAAGGACTGACTGTGAACACCTTGCATTCTCACTGTTTGTCAGCTGTTCTCTAGATATGACCTCATCCAATCTTGGGCAACTCCACGAACCCCATAGCGATGCTTTTTCTAGATTAGTACATAGTGTTCCATACAGTCAAATGCTCTAGAAAATTCGATGAACAAACCAAAAATTTGCAGTTTGTTATCCAAGGCTGTTACTACGTGTTCTATGAAATCATATAAAGCTGTTTCCGTACTTTAATTTGGCATGAAACCATGGTGGTTTGTCGAAAGTAATTCATTTTCGAGGAGAAACGATAGTAACTGATTTTTAATATTCATTTCGTTTACCTTGAATATACTAGAGAGAAGACTTACCCCTCTATAGTTCTCATAGCTATTTGAGTCTCCTTTTTTGAAGATTGGGGTAACGATTGCAACTTTTAATTTCTCAGGAAACATTCCCCGTTCCATAGAAAGATTAAGATCATATTCTCTTTGCTCTTCCGCTTTCGTAAAATGAACATTAAAATTGTTAGCCATGCTGTTGTAATCGGGTTTACTACGATATTTCTTATAATATAGGTACCTTAGAAATTCGTTCTGTATTTTTTCAGTTACGATAAAGTTGTTTGGTATTCTCCATGACTAATTACAGAACCGTATTCGAGTTTAGATCTCACTAGCGTGAAATAGAGTACTTTTATGGAATCTATGTCTATGACCCTGATAATACATTTAATAAATTATACTATTTTCAGGAGACGCTGAGAATCGATTTGATAATTTTCCAGGTATTTTGTAAACTTTGTATCGCTGAAAAATAAAACTTCGCCAGTAGAATAGCAATATGATAATAGTGATATTAGAAGTCCGAACTGATGAAATACACCACGAAACATTGTCAACCACCTTCAAACAAACGTAGAACAATATTGATGAATCGACTTCATCCATCATTAACCAAGCTATTAATAATATCGACACATAGAAATATATTCCGGTTCATGATGAATTAGCAGGTGTTCTGCGGTAGTTTTTTTATTTTTCGTTAATTTGTATTTGGACAGACGAAGCTTATGTGAGTGGTGCCGGCATTTTCAACCGCTACAACTCTTATGCTTGGACAAAAAAAATCGTCATTCTGTTGTGGAGCAGAGAAGTGAAGAAAGATTTAGATTAGGTGTGTGGGCAGGTAATTTCAGGGGTAGGATCATCGGTCCGTTCATTTATAATGGCATTTATAAAACCAAAATATTGAATCCCTTGGTGACAAATTGTCCCTAATGGAGCTCAGGAAAATATATTTCCAACGAGATGGGACTTCGCCTCACAACACTGAAATTGTCACTAATTTTTTGGTTGCAAAGTTTGGTAATAATTGGATAGTCAACCAAGGACCCAACCGTTGCCCGGCCAGATCACCAGACCTAACGTCTTTGGATTTTTACCTCTGGGAAAGGATGAAAGATCATATTTTCAAATTGCCGACCAATTCTAGATACGAATTGGAAGCGGTAGTGATGCAAAGGTTTGCTTGTCTCACTCTCATTGAACTAATTAGTTCAAAAAACATTCAGAAAAGATGTCGCCTGTGTGTAATAGAAGCTGGTATACATTTCGAACACCTTCTCTGGAGAAATATATTTCATTGTTTGTTCTTTATCATTATTGATATTATTGTTGAACTTTAATTCATTCGTAGTATATTATGTTGAACTTTTTGTTGCAATGGTTCAACTATTTTTATAAAGTGGAATACGTTCGTAATCGAAAGAGAAAAATTAAGTTGCGTAATGACTTTTTATTCATCAAAATTGACAACTACTTCAAAACAAATATCAACATCTAAAACACGTCTACAGAGCACACTCAAAATTAAATGGAACAGTTGCGTCGAACAATGTTTGACTGATCCTCTCTGCCACTCCATTTTGTTGCGGAGTCCCTCGAAACTGATGTTGAATAACCATGTTTTGCAAATATTCTTTGAATACATTTGACAAATATTCGCCACCATTGTCACTTCGTAAACAGCAAATATTTTTCCCGTGTAAATTTTCCGCTCTCTCTTTATATTCTTTGAATTTAATGAAAACTTCATCTTTGCTTTTCATAAAACCAATCTCACGATATCTTAAGTGATTATCTATGAATGTGACAATGTATCTGCTATCACCTAATGAAACTGGTGTGATCGGGCCTACTACATCTGAATGTATAAATTTCAAAGGGGCTTCTTCTCTATTGAAACTTCGTTTTGGAAATGGATTTCGCCTCAGCTTTCCTTGATAGCAAATGGTACAATTTTCTTCGATTTCGTCACCTTCATCAGAGTTATGTATATTTCCGTCTTCTTTGAGCATTTTCTTCGCAGCAGGAATATTCAAATGAGCGAAACATCTATGCCATTTATTTTCTTTAGAAATGGCTTCATTTGCAGAAATATTAGCAAATGACTGATGTTGATTCGTATTAGTATTCTTCTCTTTTATGTAAAATAATCCGTTGATTTTCATCGATTTTGCAACTAGTTCTCCACATGGTGCAATTATTTTCGAATGATTTCCCTCAAATATTATTTTCAGGCCTTTTTCAGTTGCTACTCTCGTCGACAATAAATTAGTTATCAGTTCTGGAACATATAAAACATTTTTAAGTACTTTAACGGATCCTCCATTTTCTTCGTCCAATTTCAGTTTAATATCTCCAAAACCAGTTGATAGGATCGTCTTTCCACTAGCTATTTCTACAACTGTATTTCGTTTGGTGAAATTTATGAATTTCTCAAAATTTGACGCCATATGATTCACTGTCCAGTATCCAAGTATCCCGATTTGTTTTATTATTCACCAAATAAGAAAAATGATGTTCATTTTCTTTTTCTTCCCTTCGTCTAACACTGAATGCAAATTTTGAATTTGAAGCTTCTGACTTTTCCAACTCATTGAAAGATTTGTATGATTTCGTTCCTTTTGCTTGCAGCCACAGGACAATTTTTTCCAATGTGAGCTATCTCCAGACATCTGTAGCATCTCCAATGTTCGTGTGAATAACTGGTTTTTGTGGTATCAGTAGTTTCTCCTCTATTCCGGTTCGAGCCTGCTCTGTTGAATAGCTTTCCACATCTAGGTTTGAAATTTCCACATTTTAAATTCATCTGTGTCTTTTGCGCCGCAAATGCTTTAACTTCATCTTTTTCTTTTTGTCCATTCATCTTACTTTCGATTCGTCTTTCTTCTTCTAGCAGCTTTGACTTCAAATTGCACATATTCAGGTCATCTTCATCGGCTCTTAGATTCCTTGCTAAGTGCTCATATTGATCAGGTAAACCTAATACCGTGAATCCTGCATGAGCTTTTTCGCTAAATTCGAATTCAGAATTTTCAACTTTATGATATAACCCGTTTCGTCTATTCAGGTACTGATTGATCGTCTCGTCTGAGCTTTTGGTGGTATTGATGAAATCTTTGAGTAACAGTAAATCATGCCAAGTATCAAACTTAGTATGGATTTTCTTCAAAGTTTTCCATATGTCTTTAGCTGTTTTACAATGCATTGTGTCATCAGGACTGTCATTATTCACCAATAGATAAAGAACAGATTTTGCATTATGATCTTTCTTTCTGTTTTCTTCAACTCTTATTTCATTTTCGTCTAAACTAGAATCAACAGCTTGCCACAGATTTTTAACTTCCAGGATTCCTTGCCCTCTCATCGACCAATATCGATAATTCTCGGAATTTACTTTTTCCACTTTTAAGTCGTTCATGCTAAATATCAATTCACCTCTGCGTCTAACTAAATTGCTTCGTTGAAATTCACAACTCTCGCCGTCGATAAACTCTTTCGATTACAGTCCTGGGCCCATAACATGTTGAACTTTTTGTTGCAATGGTTCAACTATTTTTATATAGTTGAATACGTTCGTAATCGAAATATAAAAATTAAGTTGCCTAATAACTTTTTATTCATCAAAATTGACAACTACTTCAAAACAAATATCAACATCTA